ATTTACCCCCTTGTACTGCTGCTGTGAAACAGCATAATAAATTGGAACAGGTTGCAGTTCACTAGGTGAGATAGACTGAAAATCCATTAGATTAATTACTTCTCATAAGTATAATTATGTTTACAGTATGCTACATTTCTAGATATCTAATGGGCTTCAAAGAAGTGGAAGGTATAATTAAAAACTTTATCTGCGAAGGCAAATCACCAAGCTTAAAAAGAAAAAATTCTTCCGGTTAGAACAGGCAACAGCAGGCTTCATTTTCCCTAATTTGTAACTGTGTTATGTAAATAAAGAGGTCACATTCTGCAAACCATAGCTAACAGTGAAATCTCACTATGGTTTAACAGTGAAAAACATGTTCGAGAAGGTCTATAATCCGTTAAATTGGACAGTTTCTTCGTGAGTCTATGCTGAGGGTGCTGTTGTTGTTTACGCTGAGTAAATATCTAATTCAGCAGTTTTAGACAACTGAAAAAGCAGTGATATATGTTATTGTGTTTATATATAGTGAGCAGTCTTGATGAGTAGATAGACTTACATTGAAGGATAAAATAAAAGTTTGATTAATTCTGAAAATTTATTTTAAAGGCTATAAAAATATGGAACAGAACGAGAAAGGAGTTTGAGAGGTCGTCCAGAGAAGGAGGTTTACTCTGCCCCAAATCTGATGACTAGAAGTTCATAAGATGAATTACATATGATAAACTCCTGAAAAATAAATCATGTAGATAGTGTATACATCTCCATTTCATTAAACCTGTATCTCCTCACACTGTCTGCTGTATTTTAAATATCTAGCATAAAGATGAATCTCATCTCTAAAAATCATATCCTGTTTACAGTTGACAAAATAAATATTTTTTTTTCCAGATATTTGTCTAAACTTTCCTTAAAAATATCCACTTCTTTCTAAATTGTAATGATGGTATAACGTTTCCAATAACCTGTTACTTTAGAAAAATCCATTTTGTTTCTTCAGCTCTCTCCACTGGGAAATGACATTTCAAGATTCTTATGTACTGAGATGCAGTCACATATAAAGACACCAAAATCTTTCTCGAAAATCCCTTTTATAACCTTTTCACTCTTCCATTTACACTATTTTTTCATAGCATCTAACCAAACATGTCCTTAGAGTGTGCAGTTCTTTACAGGCTGCATACCTAATGGGTACACATTACTGGATGAAAGTGAGTTCAGCTCACTAGATCTGGATCAAAAAAAGAGAACACTTTTGCATACAGGGACACAGGATTTTGATGGCTCTACCCCTACTAGAATTTCATCATATGTGGGATGATAGTTTCCCTGAAATTACAGTGGAGTCACTGTCTTTTTCCAGAAAAATGGGACAGGAAACAGGAAAGCCTGGCTTCCAGTGATGGCAGATTCTTCTAGAAAGCAATGCAGACTACTGCTTGCAGATCTACATGTACATTATGGGATCCAGGAACACTTATAAACTCCAGGAAACAAGAGATTACACCAAGAGGATCTTCTAGCATTTTTCAAAGGGA